GATCTTGTCCGTGATCTTCTGCTCCGCGTCGCTCATCATCTTCACGGCGCAGCTCTTCCGCCTCGAGAAGGGTGGCATGTTCCACTTCACGGGGGCTTTCCAGCTGCTCGCCTGTGCGTAACCGCACTGCACGTAACCACACCACACATAGCCCTCAAGCGCTCCCTGCACGACACGTCACTGCACTGTATTGCACCGTATCGTTAACGAGCGTGCAGTTCCCCTCGCTAACCACTCCCCGCTCTCCGCGCCGCTCGCAGGTTTGTGCGTGATGGTGGCCGCCTCGATGTACGCGGCGCAGTTCAACTACACCACCAGCGGCGGGTACGGCTACTGCTTCATTCTCGCCTGGATCGCGTTCCCGCTCACGCTCATCAGCGGCGTCCTCTACTGCATCCTGCGCAAGAAGTGATGGCCCCCACCCCCTCGCCCAGCATGGGCGCAGGGCACGGCGCCCCCCTCCGCACGGCAGCTCCTCATCCCGATCCACGGGGCCCACACAGCCCACACGGCTCTCGGGGCCCACACATAGGAACGCCACTCTCACCCTGGAAATCAGATTTAAAAATCACGGGGGGATTTTATAATAGACGGAAAATTGTCTGGAATGTTATTTGCTCGTCGGGTTTTGGTAAGGTAGCATAGATGTTGAATTGTAACACCCGCAGCCCTGTAGCTTTTACAACGTGTACTCATCTTGCCCCCTCCCCACCTCGTCCCCCGTAATCGGCATGCCCTCTCCCCAACCCCGTAATCATCATGCCCCCCCCCCCCGGTAGTGATGGTGCCTGTGCCCATGTGCCTTCGCCTCGTGTCCCACTTCCCAGTCGCCACGTGCCGCGTCCGATTGCTGTGACGTGGCCACTTCTCATGGCGAGTGGCAGCCGCTCCACGACACGGCGAGGGACGCGGGCTGTGTTCAGCAGAACGCACTACGCGTGACTCTCGCTCCAGCCGTACATATGCGGGGATTCACCTCCACATATCTGTGTCTCTGCACATAAATACAATTATATTTTGTACACATCAACCATACACGGTCTTCTGGGAGTGCATCATTTCAGCAGCACTGGTTTACAACAAGCAAGAACTCTGGACCGGTTTCGACATGCAGTGTCTCATCAGCAGAGTCCGGCTTTGCTTGAACCAATGCTGGTGAACTGCCAGATGCTTAGAGGCAAGGACCCTGTCTGTTCGATATAGAATTGCAAAACTATATCAATCACAGCGAACAATCAGGATGCGCGTGTTAACAGGTGGCGTGCGTTGCGCGTGTAAGGAGGGAGGGTGGAATGGTATTTTGTATAAAACATATAACTTGCCTCACTCTTGTCCTGGCTCTCTGATGTCCATCTTCTCCTGGAAACCACGCAGCCACCTCATGAGCCTGGCTCGTGCTTGGTAGTGCATTGCACGGGAATGGAAGTGTAGAATCACGTTGTTTGGGCCACCATTGTTTCTAAGGTCGCCACCAGTCCTAAAATCAGCGTCTGTTGTGGTCGGATGGCACGGATAGATTTTACCAAGATCTGGTTCTGGTGACCGTGTTGAACTCTGTCGCAGGAGATTGCACGGCAGTGTCGATACACCTCGGCCAACGGAGACATCAGGCCGGGTTTGCGCTGTAGAGACGGTGGCGAGCCGAGCTCTGGGCGCGTGGCTGTTGCAAAGCCCAGGGAAGGAGGGAGGGAGGCTGGGTTCAAACCCTGGCACTGGACACACATTCTTTCGGGCCGGTGGACGCGGCCGAACTCTGACACAGCAAGTCACCCTGTAGCTTACAGGAATGGGACGACTCTTCGATTAAAATCGATCGTGAGGCTCTCATTGAATGTACCCGATTGTCCTCGTGATTCTTGCAGACTCGGACACGTCCATGCAATCGACACAGTCACAGATTGTACAGCTCACAGCCTCACAGCGCATTACTGCAGCTCCAAGGAAATGCCGTACTGGACTTGCAATCCAGAAGTCGCCGATCCGATTCCATCTCCTGGCACGGCAGTTGAAACAACGAGGCAGTTTTCTAAAATCCTACCCACCACTTCTGTCCAAACAGCAGTAATTAGGTTCAGCACTATTAGTTTATGATCGGCAAAGTCGAGTGTGGTGGGGTAAATTATGGGTACGCACACCGCTTCAAACACGTCTGCTCACAGTGTGGGAGGGTACATTAAATGCACTCCAGAGTTCGCTCAATAGGAGCTCCTTCCGCCAGCAGTGGCGTGAGGGATCACTTGCAGGGCCGCACCTTTACGTTTTCCTTCAGACTCTACATCCGCCACAAGGCCAAACACAAGCACATCCATGACCCCAAGTCGCGCAGTGGTTCAATGTGCGTGCACTTCCTTAGCAAGCTGGTGGCGCTATTCGACCATGCGCACACGCGGCGCACGGGTCCTCGGCCAGTGGAAAAAGCAGGATCTGTCCCGTGCCGTGATCGCTTGGCCTCCTTATAATCCTGTACCAAATTTTGACTTTAAACTTTCAGACTGCAGGAATTCATATTCTTTGGTTCTTTCGGTAAAGTCACGTAGATAAAGAAAATAAAATAAAAACTACGTTTCCATCACAACACAAGCGAGTGTCTGCAGGAGGAAAAAAGACGATCGCTTGTGTTGTGATCGAAACGTCGTAGTTTTTATTTTATTTACTTTTATAATTTTTATACTTTACCGAAAGAACCAAATAATATGAATCCTGTACCAGCTTGAGCTGCAGCGTCAGATCCCTATCGGCCCAGTGTCTATTTAGCACCATGGCCCAGTGCGGCGCAGTGGCGCACAAAGATACAGAGACGAGGAGAGTGCGTGGAGAGTGCGTGGAGTAAGTGTCGACTCGAACCGCGCGCACTCGGACGAGAGCTGAGCCGAGTACATCGGTGCTGAGGGTTTGTGGTGAAGGCTGTGGGCGGCTAGTCCCGCACGGAGCAGTGACAGCGGGCCTCGCAGCCCTCCGCACCATCGATTTACGGTGCGCGTCGTCGTCGTCTTAGAGAAATCCGCGGGAGCCTTATCCCTGTCGTGCCGCAGCTCGACGTTACGGCTGATGTAAGTGACTGAATGGACCCCGAATCCTCATTTGACACGCGACCCTGCAGACGATGCTAGTGGTGATGGTGGAGATGATGACGATGGTGGCGGCACAGTAGGCAGCACAGGTGGCGCATCTGCCAGTCAACACGTGGCACCTGGGTCAGTCCCATGATCTCCTGCTAGCGATTCTTCGACACTTCACGGGGCCTCAAAGTGCACCTAGCCTGGAGCAAGTGCCGTGGAGACGTCACCGCTACTTAGTCGCGATGGCGGCTGTTGTTGGTGGGGATGATGGTGGTGATGACAATGCCAACGAAGATGTAGGGGACGTTGGGGCGATGAGCACACGGGATAAAACGATCCACATTGCTGCACTCTCAGAAGGCCGCATGGCTGATGGGACGTGTGGAAAATCCCTGCATTTTTACGAGTAGCGACAGACACGTCGAGGAGGCGAGTTGTGTGCTTATTTGTGTAATGGCAGGGTGCCACCTGTCGGCCTGAAGGGGTAATCGCGGTTATGGGCAAGTTACGTAATAATGTCTAATCATGAGGGGGGCGTGTCTGCTGGGGTAAAGGTGAGAGGCGGAGTCAGTCGGGAGGCTCCGGGAACCTGCTCGAAGGTTCGGAGGCGGGGCTGGAGGCGGGGCTTGGCCGCGCCGGGGTGTATATAAGGGGGACCGAACTCGAGGTTCTCTGCTGTTGCAGGTCCTGGCTGCGTCGCTGCTCGCCGTCATCCCTCTGCGTCGTCCGGCCACGTGGCCGGTCTTCTGCAAGGTTCTCATCGTCACACAGCTGTGTAGGTGGACGCCGACGCTGGGGTTGCGTAGAAGGGTCGGCTCTGTGTTGCTACGTAGAGACGTTACATCGATGTATCGCCCAGGGTTGTGCTCAAAGTGTGAGAATAGAAAGGAAGACTTCTACACGACGTGTCTCGGAATTGGCTCACTACGTTTGTATTGTTACTTTCCACACCGCCCCTCGTGGTTACTTTCACCACATCGTCAATAACACTGGGGTCTTGAAAGGAAAACGATATAATAGGCGACGTTTTGGGCAATGGCCCTTTCGAGCCACATCGCCTGTTTGCCCTGAGCTCTGTGGGTCACTCCGAGAGCACCTGGCTCACAAGCCGCCAGTTGCAGAACCATGCCCCTTTGCTGATTTCTGTGCCAAGTTGTCACACATGCTCAGAGTCAACGTGTTCTGATTATATTATCCATGAAAAAGGCAGTGTTATTGACGACCGTGTTGAGTTTGATGTATGTGCACCACTGCCAGCATCACTAGATCGCTTGTTTATTGGTTCACTATTATTGGTTCAAGCAACCCGGATTCTGCTGACGAGACACGGAACGTCGAAACCGGTACAGAATGTTCTTGTGTTGAACCAATACTCCTGATATTGTGCACTCCCAGAAGGTCTTGTGGCTTAACGGATGTTTGGACAATATTGCGTTGGGACAGCTGTGTGGAGGAGGCGGATCAACTGCTTGGTTTCTGTGTCGTTTACATTCTCCACGACGACGTTGATGAGCGGCTCGTGACAGGCGGAGTGACTGCTCGCCCCGTTCCACGAGGTCGTGGGGCTGGGAGAGGAGCGCACGCAACAGATGGGAACTCCATCCGCGTGTCCGGCGTGAAGTCGCAGCAATATACAGAGTACAACAATGCAGCAAATATAAATCGTCGCAAAACAACCATGTTACAAAACAAATTTAAAGCACAAACATTCAATGGAATAAAATAAACCCACGTGGCCTCGTGGGTGGCGGAGTGGCGGAGTCTCCCCCCACGTGACCGCCACTTTACAGGCCGGCGCGCCCCCCCCCCCCCCCCTAGAGGGAGGGGGGGTGTCGTGCGGAACCCTCCTGCGGCAGCACTTTGCCCTCGGCGCGGTTATCTCATCTCCCAAGGCGAGCACCTCCGCGCCATCTGCAGTCGTTCTTTGCTGGGTTACTCATTAACTGGGACCGTGACAACACGGCCCCATCCGGCGGCCCATTCCGTGCCGCCCCCCTCGGGCCACACACGCGAGGGACGCGCCGCGGGAACGGAGCGCGCAGCCATGGGCGCCGCGGCACTGGCCACGCTGGGGTGGGCGACGCTGGGGTGGGTGACGCTGGGGTGGATGCACGCCGGGGTAGACGGAAGGACGCCCGCCGTCTATACGATGAACGTCATTCTCATCGTGGATAACAACACCGCGTGGTCGATGAACACCGTTCGTCCCGCCATCGAGCTCGCCATGGATGACGTGAACACGAGACTGTTAGCAGGTGAGATCACGGCGAGGCACACCTGGGGGCAGCACGCACACCTGCACACACCCCACACACCCCAGTGTGTGTAGAGGGGCGTGCGCCGGAGAAGGGACCCCGAGTTAGACTCCAGTCCCCGGACTGGAGTCTAACTCGCGCGCGATTCGGCTTCGTGGAGATGCGACCGTAGCGCCGCGTCACACGGGTCCGAGTGTCCTGCCACTCACTCTGACCCCCCCCCCCCCCTGCGGCAACGCTCCCTGCCGCAGCTGCTGCCCGCCCCGCCTGGCACGCGCGCGACGCGGCGCGAGGCGGCGACGTCTGCCCCACCCAGCAGCGGGAGAGCAGCGCGATGTGGGGGGTCACGTCCCCATGTTGTCTCTGGGGCTGGGAGGGTTCGGGGGTTCGCTTCGCCTCCACGCGCCCGCGTGACCTCGCGCTTGCTCACTGAGTCGGCACCGTATGGGGTGGCAATTGCTGCAGTGCCCACCACGGGCCGTGCCCACCGCAGTCAGGCTGAGAGAGAATACCCTCGCCGCTTTCTCGACTCGCTTCCTGCTTGTGCTCATATTCCGTGCGTCCTCGACATCACGACGTCTCTATCGCAAACACCACTGCGCCCCTGTCTTACTCGAGCTACTCTACTTTTGCACGGCTCCCACGGTCGCCGTGCTCTCACATATTCATGATCGAGAGATAACACGCTGCGAGGGACACGTTGTGAGCATTGGTACCGATCAACCACGTGTGGGTCAGGAACCGTAATGGGTCAAACGAGTCATTCCCCTACCTCGGGTGCTTTGACTAATCGTCGCAATTTATCGTCTCGTCGTGTTTGTCGTGTTTTTATTTAGCCTGCGTGGCACCATTCGTATTCAAATAGAAACTGCACGAATCGATGTTCACCTTGGGGTTTCACGCAGCTGTTCACGTCGTGCGCCAGGATACAAATAAACTGCGCGACATTACCCCCCGCGCAGTAGCCCCGCACGACGGCTCGTGTCAACAGCTCGTAATAGGCGCGCTACTGGCAACAGCAGGGGCACTTCGGCCATAAACCAACTCGCGTGCGGGTTCGCGTCGCTACCTGCCCCAAGACCTGGCCCACTGCACGCTTTCAAATCCGATGTCTCACCACGAGAGGGAAACAACTCGGTGACGGCAAACGCGTCAGCATTCAAGTTTATTTGTTAACTCAGGCGATAACTCAAGAGAATGGGATGAGTCTTAAAATAATAGAAGCACAACACATATTAAATAAAGCATAACAACAAACCAAATATAAATCAGAGCAAAAATAACTGCATTCCAGAATAAACAACATTTAATTTCCAGTAACGAGAATCGGCACTTGAAACCCATTCACGGTTTAATGAAGCGATAGGAACATCAACTCCGGGTGGTCACTGCACTTCGTGCATAAACACACCAGACCATGCGTCCAGCAAGTGACGTGTTCGTCCAAAATATTTCATCTCGCATCAAACTGTGATGCAGACGGGAGAGTAAGCAAAGACATGTTTGAAGCGATGGAATCCCAGGAGTTTGGGGCATTCACAGGGAATGAAAGCCAACTGGTCAACAAAGCGGCGCAGACAACACTGGCTACAAGGAAACGAAGCCACGTATCTGATCCACGTCACAGAAAAACAATTAAGCAGATATGATTTCATAAAGAGACCAGGTGGCAGAAACGTAATGGATTATTACATCTGCATGTGTGGACTTTCGAGTGGTGCCCCTATTCGTTTGCATGTTTCCTCCCATACACCAAACACGCATTCCTGGCATCTCCCGATATAAACCCTTCTCGATAAAATATTGTGTTGATTCTCTGTGAGTATTTCCTGCATAAAAGGCATTGTTATAAAATTAGCAACATTTATGGGGCAGTCAACAGAAACGAGGAATTGCCACTGAGAGCGCAGGGATTGAAATGGAGGTGGGCACCACCCCTGCGCTCAGTTTCTCACTGATCGCACTGAACACCGATCGTCATCTCACGACGCTGCTTCCCACTCGTGGTGAGATACAAAGTGCGTTGGTTTTGAAAGTGTGCAGCGACGCTAACCTGCACACGAGGCGGTTTATGACCGAAGTGTCCCAGCTGTGGCACCTCCAATTAGCACGGTTGGCTGCATACGGTGCGAAAGAAGCTCAATGTGCATCGACACACGCAGCAGAAAGAGTTCTCACGCGCGCTGTCGTCTCACGCCAGGCACGGGCGTCAGGCTCAACGCAACGTTTGACTGCTACAGCTCCGAGTGGCTGGAGAGCAAAGCCTCGAGCTGCGAGGACACGGACTGCGAGGCCAGGGAGCTGGTCAAGGCGCTCAAGGTGAGGAGGACGCCTCGAGGCCCGACACGCACACAGCGCCGCGGCATCACGTGGCAGAGAGTCACGGTCCCCATGCACGCGCGTCTGACGAGGCCGCCTCAATCACTGCAAGGCAGGAAGCAGCGATGGTGCGAGACATCTCTGATGGATGCCCCTACATCTCCAGCTCTTTAAAGAGGGCCCTGCATGACCAATATTAACACGTTGTACCCGAATAGAGACGAGGATGTAATGGATGGAAAAAGAGCCAGGAACGGGAAAGAGAAGGGAGACCGGGATAAAAGTCCCCAAGATGGACAGAGAGGGCATGTCTCAAGATGAGCATCAGAAAAAGAGAAGGAGGAGTGCCAGGCAGGAAGTCGAGGACGAGAAAGAGTGACTGGGACGAGATGTCGGGATGAGAGGGTGATGAGAGGAGGAAGGAGCGAACAGAAGTGAGTCGCAAGGAGGAGCAGCGTCCGTTCTCACCGGGGGGCGGCGGTGAGAGTGTAGGGAATCAGTGGGAGTGGCCTCCCACAGAGAAGCCGCATTATATATGGGAGGCTTGAGCTGGATCGATACACATTTAAACATTGTGATTTTGCCCAAGGCAGTTCACGGGATCACGGGACCCTGCGTCTGTGTTGCTGCTCCAGCGATCACCTGCACGCACCGTGCCCTCTGGATGTTTACGAGGATCTGACCTCACGCGTGAATCGCAGGGCCTTGCGCATTTGCCAGCGAATGAACTGGAGGCTTTCTGGTTGAGTGCTATCAAGGTCAGGCCGGGGCTCTGCGGCTGTACTACTGCACGGACGTTGCGGACGTCATCGGCGGAGTGGGGGACTTGAACGCGGCGGCCCCCTTCTGGCTCCAGCCCCTCGCTGCCCCCCTTTGTCTTCCCAATGCAATGTTGGCTGATTACCTTTCAGCCCCCAGCTTTTCTGTCGCCCCCCATCAAAACTACTCCACGTACAATAACAATTCTTTATTTCAAATTGTCATGCTATGTATAAATTTATAATTGCTGTAAAACACCTGGGTGAAGGTGCTATATTAATCTCATTAAGATAAGAACATACATACGTACAAGTGGTATTGGCCAAACATCCCAATTTTGAAAAATCACCTGCTTATTACTCAATTAGGATCACACACTAACCATCGCCCCATAATTTGACAGCCTGGCAGTCTGTTATGCTGTTTATCATGATGTATACACTGTGTATCTTAGAGCCGTTCCTCGACCAACGACCGGATTTGGGAAAATAGTCCAGGTAGAGGCGATCAGATTTGGCTCTGCTGGGCTGAGGTCGCACAATAACTCGTGTGTGCGGCGGGGTGACATTCGTAAACGGTGCAGAACCCCTTGACACTCACTCAGCAGCGCTGTCTGTGTGCTCCTCACCGCAGGCCAACGATCAGCTGGGATGCGTGATCGTGGGCCCGTCCTGCCAGTACTCCTCCTACTCCCTTCTCAGGTGCGTGCGTTAGTGGAGAGAAAGGGAGTGGTAGTGCTGATTGTGGCTGGGTTGCAGCTGTCACTGTGCTGGACGGTGTGTCGAGCCCACGGGCTCTGTGTGAACGAGGCCCAGCTCCTTTATGGTTGGGGGGCCACCATAACTGTGATATTCACCGCCAAGGTGAGCGAGCTGCGTTTAACTAAAGTAGGTGCAGGGCCCACCGCAGCAGAAATGAAGCCGAGGCTGCGCTCTCGCTTGGGAACATCTGTCGTCGTGACGGCCGTGAAATGGATTTGTGTTTCCTTTGTAGGAGCCGTCGAGACGCTGGCCGTGCCGCGCGTGGCGAGCGGTCTCCGTCTCGGCGGCGGCCACGCACGCGGCCTGCAGGCTGGCGCCGCAGAGGCAACTGCGAGGCCTAATATTTGAATAATTCCTGGGCCTCTCTAAGGGCGACTCCGCTTTAAACGAAAACCTGGTATAGAGTGTAAAACATCAGCACTGGGGAGACAAAGGCAGCCCGACGTGATGTTGGCCACCCAACAGACTTAGTGAGGTTCTCCTGGGTAAATAAGCTTACATATATTCTTTGGGTCTTTCGGTAAAGTCACGTAGATAGGTTCAAAGAAAATAACAAAAAACTACGACGTTTCGATCACAACACAAGCGATTGAAACGTCGTAGTTTATTGTTATTTTCTTTGAACCTATCTACGTGACTTTACCGAAAGACCCAAAGAATATGAATTCGTGCAGTCACGAAAGCTTTAAGTCAAGCTCACGTATTTTATGTATTTAAAGTGTGACCGTGACCCGGACACGTGCGGCTGTCTGCGCCAGGTCCCAGAGCGTGTTCAATCGGCCCGTGATCGCGGCAGGCAGCTTCGGGCTATCCACTACCTACAGCGCCATCCTGAGCCGCACGCTCGTGCCTGCCACCAAGATTTCGACGATGCTCACGCGCCTGTGGGCGCACGCGGACGCGCGCAAGCAGTTCGCCTGGCGCACGGCCATTGTCTTCACCGAGGGCAACAACGACGCCAACGTCTGCTTCTGGTGGGCACCGCGCTCGCCTCACGCCGCCAAGGCAGCTTGCTGCCCGGTTGAGCGTCCAGGCATCGGTGCTCATGTCCTGTGTACGGCCCTTCAGAGTCGGTGGTAGGAATCCCACTGCTCTATGGTTGGGGCGAGTCTATCCAGAGGACAACCGCCATTGATCTTCCCCGCAAAGTGGTGCTCGTTTACTCATTGTGTCGACCCCGGAAGGAGAGGTGATGATTGGCTGAGTTGATCCTCGAACGGGATTTTAATTTGCCACCTTGCGACTATGATCCACTTGTTCCACCGCTCGGCCGCCTGGCGGGATCAGCATTGTGAGTTACGTGATGTAAACAGTAAATATGATAAACTTTCACTGAAGCTGGGTCCTCTTTGTTTCAGAGGGAACCTGCGTTACAGATGTGATTGCCCGTGCCGCCGCGACTCTGTGTACGTGTCTGCGGGTGAAGGTACCTGCAGGCCCTGCTCGAGAACGTGCAGGGGCCCCTGGGTCAGAATTTCATGTCGCTGCGCGGGCTGCTCGGCAAGGATCACGTCCTGGCGCTCGACACGTTCGCGCGCTTCAACACGACGCTCAGCGGGACGCGGCACAGCAACGGTACCGCGGGGCGGGGGTGCCGGGCGTGCGCCCACTCCGTAGCACGGCACGTGCCACCACGCCGAACTCTCCGCGTTTCGTGACCCCGCGATCTCCGCCCAACAGTGATCATCATGTGCGCCAGCCTGACCCGGGCGGAGGAGGTCATCAAGGGACTCGGGCACTTGTCTGCGGACACGCGCGAGCAACTGGTGTTCGTGGTGATCGACCTGTTTGGGTGAGCGTTCCCTGGGGGGTGGGGGGGGGGTCACCACGAGGCGCCCCCCCATACGGGGAAAGCTCTGCACTGCCGGATCCGTCGGCTCCTGGCTCGGGGGGCTGGGTTTTAATTCGGGCTGCTAAAACGTCAACCCACTAGCCGCTGCAAACCATTTACTGTGCCGGGAGCTGGTGACCGATTCCTGTGAACCGTAGGGAATGCGCTGATCGGCTCGTGCTGATGTACAAACTGGCGTGGTTCATTTGCTCCCGAATCTCAGTTAAAAGGTAAAGGTGCAAGCCTGCAAGTGCTCGCTCAATCCACTGCTGGCAGAAGGGCCTCCACTAGAGGGAGCTCTAGAATGCATTTGGTCGACTCTTGAACCAAGGTGCCTCCCTTCCCCATCCCCTCTCCCCCGCATCGTCCCTCTGCCCCTCTCTGCCCCCCATCCAGCCTGGACTACTATAAGACGTACGAGAACCACAGCTCGGCGCTGGAGCGAGCGCTCATCGTGACGCTGCCCGAGAGGCAGGCCACAGCCTTCGGCGAGAAATTCAACCTCACCGTGAGATGCGAGCGGCAGCGCGCGGCAGTCGCACCGTACTCTGCGCACTCCTCGGCTCTCGCCCCGTAACCAATTATAATGCTCCATCTCCGATTAGCACAGCTGGCTACGTGGGGTTGGCTACGTACGGTGTGGAAGAAGTTCAACAAACATACATATCTAAATCAGCTCAAGCTCCCGTAAATCACGTGACTTCTGTGTGACCATCCCCCCCATTCTGAATCCCTTCCCTCTCCTCACCACCCCTTGTGAAAACAGACACGGCTCCTTCGTGCAGCTCACTGCTGCCCGCTCCTTCTCTCTTCGCCCCCTCTGATCATCACCACCCTCTCATCCCCGACATCTTGGCCCTGCCATTCATTCTCCTCCATCTCCTGCCCGGTGCTCCTTTTTAGTCCTTGCTGCTAATCTTGAGCTGTGCACTGTTTGTCCGTCTTGAGGACTTCCAGCATAGCTTCCCTTTCCTGCTCCTCGTGTGGACTGTCTATTGACCTTTTGTGCCACCACTTTACTGCCCTTTTCGTGCTGTGACACGTGGACAAAGTTTGATTGACTATGCTTGATATTAATGCCACACTTACAACGCAGGGCTATCACAGGGCTTTACGCATTGCAGGTCACAACAACAACGCAACCACCACACTGCTGGTCACAACTCTTTATTTCTGTAATCTGAGCCTCTGTGTGTGGTGTGAACCTGGTCTCTGTGCTCGCTGTACTCTTTGTGCTCCGTCTCTGTGCTGCAGAGCAACCACTTCGTGGTGGGCTACTACGACAGCGTGCTGCTGTATGGCTCGGTGCTGCGCAGGGGCCTTCAGCAGGGCAGCTACTCGTGCAGCAGCGCGGACGCTCACAGTTTTCGAAATCTGCACTTCCAAGGTCGTTGCTAACACACGACCCCACGGCATGCTGCAGTGCCACCGCGTATAGACAAGGGTAGTTGTGTTACCGGTAACCGCGTGAAGAAAATGGTTAAACCTGTTTCATCGCTTGTATAGAGACGTCTCGCGCATTTGGTTATTCACTGGGATGTGAAGGCAGCTGCTGCTATCGCAGCGGTGGTGCGGCTGTGAGCAGTGCGCCAGACTCAGACCCCATAGGTCGCCGGTTCGATTTCATCTCCTGGTGTGTGACGGGACAGGGGCACGTGATGACGCGTCGCTCCGTGTGACAGGACAAGGGCACGTGGTGATACATCGCCCCGTGTGATGGAACAGGGGCACGTTGTGACGCGTCGCTCCGTGTGACAGGACAAGGGCACGTTGTGACGCGTCGCCCCATGTGACGCGACAGGGGCACGTGGTAACACGTCGCCGTGTGTGATGGGACAGGCCTGGAGGAGGAAATCTATCTCGATGAGAACGGCGACCGGGACACGAATATTAAGATCCTCAACCTCCGCGGCAACAAGGTTCCCCTCCATATGCCAGCACCAGAGGCTGGCGCCGAGTTGCCAGCCTCATTGCTCATTCTTCATCAGCAACACTGCCTTCAAAGAAAACAACGGCCCTTCTTCATGGCATATGCGCTTAATCAGGGCCATTTCCTGAAACGTCACCAATTGCATATTTATTTTATTTACTTTATCAACATTTTTGATGTGCAGTTCATTCCAACCATAAACATGCGGTCCGGCGCTATAAGTCGTGCTCGAGTTAAAGAGCTCATTGCTGGGATTGTTCTGGGTTGGCTAAGCTTTTGTCAAAAATAAACACGTGGTGGGTTGGTAAGAGGAGGTGGGGTAGTGGGTGAAATGTGGGAGGGCAGGGATCTGCGCATGTTGGCTGGGGGTGATCTAATACAGTGTACAAGGTGTGGAGTGCTCTTCCTTTTAAGTAAGTGCTCATAGCGCATTATGTGCGATGCAGAAGGGCCATTGCCTAAAACGTCACCTACTTTTCGATTTAAAGCTTTCGTGACTGCAGGGATTCATCTTCTTGGTTCTTTCGGTAAAGTCACGTAGAAGGGAAGTAATAAAATAATAAAAATAAAACATAATAAAACAATTCTCACGACGTTTCGGCCACAACGCAAGCAGCCGTCCTCAGGTGAAAACCAGGTCCGTCGAGGCGACAGAGTCTGAATGAAACAGCACACGAGCTTGGAGTATATATATAAGCTGGGCGCATTGACAAAGGAATTTGCATATCAAAAGGAAATTTAGCATATTTATGGGAAATGCAGGAATGTGATTAGTACTGCATATGCATGTGCATTATGCAGGATTAACAGCATCAAAGAGAGCTGCAGTTACTGCTGCTGCAGTTTCTGCTGCTGCTGCAGTTGCTGCTGCTGCTGCAGTTGCTGCTGCTGCTGCACTTGCTGCTGCTGCTGCACTTGCTGCTGCTGCTGCACTTGCTGCTGCTGCTGCAGTTGCTGCCTTATCCATTTTAATATAACACTATGTATTATTCTACCCACCCTAATGTGTATCATACTGCTATATGTTTACTGTACAATTACGACACCATACATTACTCTGCACACTGCACCATGCCAGTGAGTGGAACGCGGTCTGAAAGTCACCGTAAACGTGAACACAATCAGTTAAGATCCGAAATGGTTTATTACGTCCTTCCAATGATTGCTAAGCCAGAATCCATCTTCTCGGTTGAAATTGTCTCTGTGTTTGTATATGTGGATCGCCTCATGAACGAATCTCTCATGATAGCCAGATGGCTTGCAGAGAACCTCTGTCTTGCAGAAGTCAATGTCATGTGAGCCCACTGAATTGTAACAGTGATCTGCCACGGCTGAGGTGTTTGTCCTACCGTGTTTCAGGTCTGCCTTATGTTCACAGATGCGGTCCGAGACATGTCGTTTGGTTTCCCCAATGTAACTGCTACCACAGAGGCAACTTAGTTTGTAGACGCCAGGGTACTGTATGTCTGGAACCACATCTTTTACAGACGGGACCAGATCACGGATTTTATGTACTGTGTTGAATCGGACCTGGATCTTGTGTTTAATCAGGATTTTGGAGATCTTTTTTGTGACCCCAGCAATGTAGGGTAAGGTGATGGTCTTGAAAGGCTCCTCAACAGGATCCTTCTTGATGGTTGGAGTGATGGCTTTGCGGATTGTGTAGTCGGAGTAACCATTAGCCTTAAGAGCTTGGCGTACGTGTTTGAGTTCACTGTAAATGTGTTCATGGTCGGAGATGCATTGGGCTCTATGATATAGAGTCTTGATGAGGGAATTCTTCTGGGATGGATGGTGGTGGGAATCCGGTTTTAGATAAGCATCCGTGTGGGTGGCTTTCCTGTAGACAGAGTGGCTCATTGAACCATCAGGTCTCCTTTTGATTAGGACATCCAAAGCTACCCTTTTTGGATGTCCTAATCAAAAGGAGACCTGATGGTTCAATGAGCCACTCTGTCTACAGGAAAGCCACCCACACGGATGCTTATCTAAAACCGGATTCCCACCACCATCCATCCCAGAAGAATTCCCTCATCAAGACTCTATATCATAGAGCCCAATGCATCTCCGACCATGAACACATTTCCAGTGAACTCAAACACGTACGCCAAGCTCTTAAGGCTAATGGTTACTCCGACTACACAATCCGCAAAGCCATCACTCCAACCATCAAGAAGGATCCTGTTGAGGAGCCTTTCAAGACCATCACCTTACCCTACATTGCTGGGGTCACAAAAAAGATCTCCAAAATCCTGATTAAACACAAGATCCAGGTCCGATTCAACACAGTGCATAAAATCCGTGATCTGGTCCCGTCTGTAAAAGATGTGGTTCCAGACATACAGTACCCTGGCGTCTACAAACTAAGTTGCCTATGTGGTAGCAGTTACATTGGGGAAACCAAACGACATGTCTCGGACCGCATCCGTGAACATAAGGCAGACCTGAAACACGGTAGGACAAACACCTCAGCCGTGGCAGATCACTGTTACAATTCAGTGGGCTCACATGACATTGACTTCTCCAAGACAGAGGTTCTCTGCAAGCCATCTGGCTATCATGAGAGATTCGTTCATGAGGCGATCCACATATACAAACACAGAGACAATTTCAACCGAGAAGATGGATTCTGGCTTAGCAATCATTGGAAGGACGTAATAAACCATTTCGGATCTTAACTGATTGTGTTCACGTTTACGGTGACTTTCAGACCGCGTTCCACTCACTGGCATGGTGCAGTGTGCAGAGTAATGTATGGTGTCGTAATTGTACAGTAAACATATAGCAGTATGATACACATTAGGGTGGGTAGAATAATACATAGTGTTATATTAAAATGGATAAGGCAGCAACTGCAGCAGCAGCAGCAAGTGCAGCAGCAGCAGCAAGTGCAGCAGCAGCAGCAAGTGCAGCAGCAGCAGCAACTGCAGCAACAGCAGCAACTGCAGCAGCAGCAGAAACTGCAGCAGCAGTAACTGCAGCTCCCTTTGATGCTGTTAATCCTGCATAATGCACATGCATATGCAGTACTAATCACATTCCTGCATTTCCCATAAATATGCTAAATTCTTTTTGATATGCAAATTCCTTTGTCAATGCGCCCAGCTTATATATATACTCCAAGCTCGTGTGCTGTTTCATTCAGACTCTGTCGCCTCGACGGACCTGGTTTTCACCTGAGGACGGCTGCTTGCGTTGTGGCCGAAACGTCGTGAGAATTGTTTTATTATGTTTTATTTTTATTATTTTATTACTTCCCTTCTACGTGACTTTACCGAAAGAACCAAGAAGACGTCACCTACTTTATACGCAGTACTTCCCTTACGGCCACGGTGTTATTAATGAATGTGTTGAGTTTAATTGTTTTTGTACTTGTGCACCACTGCCAACACAGCATCACCACATAGTTTAACTTGTTAGCAATTCCACCTTTGGTCATCACCAGCGATATAGTCCACTGTCTGCCGATGTGTACGCGTGGCGTGCACATTTACGTGCGTGTGTGGCCGAGTGAACGCTGCATCCTCACTGCGTGTGCGGCGCTCCTCTCCGTGTGTGCGGGGATAGTTTGAGGAGGTGTGGGACTACTCCACGGGCCTGGGCACCTTCCTCCTGGCAGAGAACGTGACACTACCCTGGCTGGGCAACCAGCTGCCGGACGACACCCCCAATTGTACGTGCCCTCCCCCCTCCACCCCTTGCCACCCCCCACTGATGAATTAGCTCCTTGGGTCATAGGGTGTGAAAGCCTGCTCTTGTCAACTGAGGTCGCCACCCATCCGGGTGTGACCCGGTACAGTCCAGTAATTGGCTTCTGCTGTATTTAGATGGCAGGGATTGATTTGTACCAAGATCTGGTGCTGGTGACTGTGTTCAACTCCGTCGTAGGAGACTGCACAATGGTGCTGACAGGCCTAGGCCGACTGAGATGCGTGTCCGGGCTCACTCTGCATGGAAGAGGTGGCGACCCTAACTCACTACTCCAGAATGTCCTATCTTTCACGAGATGCGCTAGTCCCAGTGTTGTTGTTGGGTGATGGAAGCTACATCATGAGGCACTGGATTGAATGACTGTGTAAACGAGATACCCCATCCCAAGGGAGTTTCTAGATGAAATATATTTATGGGAAGTGATTACAACAATACAATTGCACTGCTCACTCAGCGCTGTCGTGGCCCTTCCCCTCAGTTGCCTGCTCCACTTCCCTTTATTTGCCTCATGTTGTCCGCATTCTTTATTGTCATCTCGTTCCATCCTCTCCTGGATGGGTCCCGTGGGCTGTGCGTTTGCCACTCAGCGCCGAAGATGATGGAGGTGGTGAAGATCGCGCTGGTGGCCGTGTGCAGCCTCCTTTTCCTGCTCTTTCTCGGATTCATCATCATGTGGAGGTGACGACTTCTCATGCCATTCCAAAACCACCACAACCACCATAAACACCACTATCCACCACCACCAACAACAACAACCACCACCATTCTCCACTAAGTGGCGGTGACGTCACCACGATGCTTGTGCCAGGCCATGTGCACCTTGAGGCCACGTGAAGTGTCGAACACCCGCTGGCAGGAGGTCACGGGGCAGACCCAGGTGCCACGGGTCGACTGACTGAGACGGCTGCCTGATACACCACCTGTGCCCCCTACTTTGCCAACTTGCTGTGCTTTAGCCACCCGGCACTTCGCTCGTTGTTGTGAGCGTTACTCCTCCTCCCTCCGTTGTCATTGGAGGGCGACTGCCTCCAACTGCCCGGTAGCATCCTTCAAGAGCCTCCTCCTCATGGTGGCAGGAGCCAGAGCCGGTCCACCGGACCTCCTGAATACCACAGAGATCCAGGTGACACCGATCCAGCTCTTGACAGAGGAGTGGCAGCCTTTCCTCCGCAGTGAGCGTTCGAACATTCCACGTGGCCATCCGAAGTGGCTTTTTGTTGTTTCTGGAGGAGCCCTGAGAGTAAGGTTTCAGTCTCCTGTCTCCACCAAATGGGGTTTGGCCAGGAGACATCATAGACGCCTGTCCCCCCGGGGCCTCCGGCACAAGCTTAATTGAAGTTTTAAATTGTGGTAAAATGGTAACCAATTGAAGTTGGTGGGGTTACCAGCCCCTCGCACGCATCCAGAGCCCCCATTTGGCTGCTGTGGTGGTTACAAATGCCATGAGGGGAATGGCCAATCTAAATTGGCCCTCCTCCCAGTGCACTGCTCACCACAGCGTTGCCGTCCGGCAGCCAACGAGGAGGTAGGGGGTTGTTTTTACCAGACTACTTCCACCACCTCCACCATCACCACAAACACCACCACCGCCACCTGACCACCATCACCACTGCCAATGCTGACTCCACCACGAACACCACCGCCACCACCACCGCCACCGCCACCATCACTACCATGAACACCACCACCACCGCCACCATCGCCACCACCACTGGCACAATTACTGCCGTGACTGCCACTGACACCACCACCAAGAACACCACCACGTTCACCACCACCACCATGAACATCACAATTACCACAAACACCACCACAATTACATCTTTCATCACTACCATTACCACGCTGCCACCCGACCCTCAGGAAGTATGCAGTGGAGAAGCAGCTGAGCAGACAGCGATGGGTGATCCCCTGGAGTGAGCTGCAGACTCTTCCTGACGACGAGGCTCATCTTACATTCGAGGTGCCTCTCAGTAGACACCATCGCGATGGCCACACGGCACTCGTGGAACGTGGCGCTCAAACGCCACGGGATTCGTAATGGCACGGAATGTAGCAAGATCCAGCACCAACAATTGCCTAAGTTTTGTGGTCCTATATTGGATGTTTGGCCAACCCTACTTCATAGAGTTTATACATTAATGTGGCTCGCTGGGCTTATTCTAAAATCTCACTACAGGGAGCACACCGCTCCAACCTCCACATTACAGCCTCACAGAGGGAGCACACCTGTCCAGTCTGGGAGTGGCTGTGCTGTTCTCTTTGCAACATTGCGAGCATTGTGCCGTTGCGTGTGCCCAGGTGCGAATAGAAAAGCTGAGCGTGGATGGGAGCCACGGCCCAGTGCCTCCGTGTGCCCCGTGCTTCCTCAAGCGCAAGTACGATAACAAAGTGAGCTCCGCCGGCACGGTACGGCGCCACACACCGTCTTTGCTGCGAATCAACACTAGCAGTTATCATCGTCATCATCATCATCATCACCATCATCAGCCGTGGCCAGTTCACAGATGATGTCAATCCATGGAAAGATCCACGCCATTGAATACATCTGTGGATTGAACAAGTTGCTATGGTGCCCCCTGGCGATATCACAGCCCCGTGTGTGTGCCAACTGGTATGTCCCGGCGCAGGGCACCCATGCAGGTGCTCGCCAGGCTCAAGGCTGCTTTGCTTCTGAGATCCAGTGAGATCGGGTGCGTTCACAGGGATTGCATCATAGGGAGTGAGAGCCCGGTATCGTCACTGGGGTCACCACCTGTCCGCGAATTGGCACCTGCTGTGTGGATAACGTGGCGGCCCAGAGTTGTCACTCAATGAAAAACGGATGAAAATTCTGCTCAGGGTACAACATCCTCTGCTTGCATGGAGGTTCTGTCTAGGCCTGCACAGGGGTAATCTAACTTCGTGTTGCGTCTCTATCTGACTGTGCAGTCGCTGCGTTTTGTATCCGAGTGACTGGCGCATCTGCCATTCACTTGGGTCAGTTAAACCCATAACACCTGGGTTTGTCCCGTGACCAGCAGCGAGACTTCCACACTTCACATGAAGTCACCACGTGGCCTGCCACAGGCATCGTGGTGACGTTGTGGCCACGTGGTGGCGACTGACGGCTGCTGCTGTTGATGGCGGGGTGTGTGCCTGTGCATCCGACTCAGGTGGTTGCTCTGAAGCCGCTCTGCCTGGCTGAGAAGGACTTCTCACGACCACAAAAGCTGGAGCTTAACAATGCAAGTTACTGTCCCTCATTCACACAATGCATGAGGAGACTCACGTCACGAGGATGAATACAACTCAAGACTGCTGGCAATGACGGAAGTTTCAGGGCATTGTAGTTTCAGAACATTGTAGAATGGAAATGTGCACACAAGAGCAAACACAATGATACATTACTTACATGAAACCCACGCTAGAACTTACTCCAAACAGTACAAACAATAAATAAACTACTTACATTAAAAACAACAGTGTAGCAGATGTGTAAATGTGTCGTGTATACAGCCTCAGACATAACGGAGCTTAGCTATAGCATTCATTGCAATAGTGGCAGAGGTTTCTTGTCTTGAACATGGGAATATGTTCAGGAGCTAAATACCAATGTCGTGGCCCGCTGTCCAAGAGAGTGCTTCAGGAGAGAGAGAGAGTTGGTTTAGTTTTGTTGTTCTTCCTCTGTCGAAGGAGTACAGGCTAAGGTGGTTGACAGCGTGGTCCATAGTTTTGGTTGCATGGCCACAGTCACATTACCGTGGCTTGTGTTTTTAATTTTCCATTTATGAAGGAGATGTGCACATCGGCCTGTTGATATCGTGATACGGTCGATGGTATGTATATATGTTGACCTTCTTTAGCACCGTACGTAGCCAACTGTGCTAAGTGATGAGGAATGTTCAAGCCAAGAGGTGTGATGTTGAGGCGTTCATTACGGACATCTGCATTGTTCCACTCTGTTCTCCATCGTTTTTCTTGATCTGGGTGAGATTCTAGGATTCCACATGATAAGTCACTTTAGTGAGATATCATTTGTGGCCAGGTCGCTTCTGAAAAATAACTATATAGCTCAGTGGGCCTTACCTGGTATAATAAAATATAGTTTATATTGGCAGAGGTAACACTGCAGCATGGCCTTTACACACACATTGCTAGACAAGGGAAATGTGGAATATTGAGATCGGTTATGAGGACATTCCAGAAGGTGGGTGCCGTGCAAAAGGTCGTGGAATCAGGCAAACAGCAGCCCATGAAGGTGCACACGTTACATCGCATAACACCAACAGAGTCGTATTCTCGTGCGACACGAAATGTGGATTGATTTGCGGGCGTCTGATTTTGTTGACGCATGGTGCAGTTGGTGGCTCTGGACTTTGAGAACCTGGTCAAATTCTATGGGACGACGACGGACGTGGGCGCGACGTACGCGGTGGTGGAGTTCTGCAGCCGCGCTGCTCTGCGGGTGAGTGGGGCTGCCCCTCTCGCCCTGCCGAGTCCTCCGCCTGGGCGGACTTCTGAACGCAAGCAACAGTGGCAGCGCTGAGCACAAGGTGTAATTGGCAAATGGCTTAAGTGAGCGGTGTGCACAGTGTGAGCGATACTCTGCACGTGCACTCTTGGCCATATTTGCGTGCACTCTGGATTGAGTACGCATGAGTCTCGGTTGAGGTTATATGTTTGTGTGTTTCTAGACATGTGACGCAGCGTGTCACCAGTTCTTGGCAGCGAGACAGTGAAAGTGATGTCATGTTAGTAACATTACTTCCCCGTTCAGTATTATCTCAAATACTTTTCTATCTTGGCCATAATTGCGGGTCAATCCAAAACTCCAGAGAACACCCCTGGCAGATACTGGGAGCACGCAGCTTGTACACTTGCAGGAAGAGGACTACTATCGTATCCGCACACGCCGGCTATACCCAAACAGTCAAGAGTGAGTTATTGCTCAAATAAGCATTGAGGCATTGGCGCCCATATTTTTTTTACAGCCCTGGGACAGTGGTGGTTATTCCACGTTCCTATGGTAGGGGCGAGTCTATCCATAAGACAACCACTGTTGGCTTCCTCACGAAGTGCTGCTCATTTCCTCCACCCCAGAGGGATGATGATGATGATAATGGGTTGAGTCAACCCCCCCACCAGGTTTCGAACTCATGGCCTCCCGATTGCGAGCCGCTCGCTCCACCGCTGAGCAGCCGCTGGCCGGTGACCACCAAGCAGACCACCACAAGTTATACAGAGGCCACGACTACTGAACCAAGGGGGGCATAACCCAAGATGAGTGGCGTCTGTCCACGGGAGCCGATCTGCTACACACGCATCTCACTCGGCCTCCTCCTTGGCACTGCTATGCACAGTGGCGGTGCGTGTGGCTTGTGTGGGGAGCAGGACATCCTGGACGACGATGTTGCGTACCCTGAGGAGACACTGATGGACTGGGATTTCAAGGTTTCGCTCATGCAGGACATCGCCAAGGTAAGGCGCAGCGGGGCCCGCGGGCGCCTCGTGCCAAACCCGCCTTCGTTCACCACCAAACTGACAACGCCGCCGCGCTCCGCTCTGCATTGCGGAAACAATCACGCGTGTCGCCACGGAGAACACAGGCAGCAAAATAATCACGAACAGACCCTGCGCCTCGTCCCTCCCATAGCTGTAGCTCCACATAAAGCTTTATTTAAAGATACCATCAGCCACATGGAATTCTGGAAGCACATAATTTCAGCAGCATTGGTTCAGCATAAGCAAACTACGGACTGGTTTCGACACTCAATGTTTCTTTAGCAGAGTCATAATAGTTTAACACGTAGTAGGCTTTCGTGACCAATATCATCCACAATAGATGTTGTTTTGGGTTAGATCATGCACATATATAAATGTGTCGCGATCTAACCCAAAAAAGCTCTATTATAGAGTCTTAATACTCGGAGTTTCCCGACGTCTGGGGAGCTTGGTGTTGCCGCACATTATACCGGCTTTCTTTGACGCTGATTTAAATGTGAATTGTCTATTCAGTCATTTTGTTTATATCCTCCACAATAACGCTGGTGAATATTCTGTGTTGTGTATTTGTGTCGAACCAGGACCCATACAGACAGGGTCCATGCCTATACCACCTGGCAGTTCACCAGCATTGACTTCAGAAAACTTGACTGCTGATAAGGCACTGAGTGTTGAAACCAGTCCAGAGTTTTGCTTGTGAACAAAGGCTGGTCCCAGAAGGCCGTGTGGCTGATGGGATGTGTAAGAAATACATTAATATTTTATGTGGAGGGACGGATATCGAAAGGAGCGGGTGCTTACTGTCTGCTTGTGTATCTTGTTTTATAAACCACCTACGTATTATGTTACCCAGACTCGAAACATTCGCCCCACCAGCCGTTAACGCCGCCCCTCGTGCCCCACCTCCCCACATCTGGACGGCGCGGGGGCAGGGCATGGCCTACCTGCACTCGAGCAAGATCACCGTGCATGGGCGACTCAAGTCTACCAACTGCGTGGTGGACGGGCGGATGGTCGTCAAGATCACGGACTTCGGCCTGGTCTCCCTGCGTGATGACATTCGTGGTGAGCGCGATGAGATTCGTTCAGCGAGCACGCCCGTACGTTTCCGTGAAGTGGATGGAACCTCGACGACTGCTCGCACCGTGGAGAATATCAAGAAGAGAATGTTCTTGATGACAATGCTCATGATGACTCTGTGCTGTGTATTGTCGAGGTTTGTGTCGAACGAGGACGCATGGCTAACCGAGAGAGGGCCCTTGCCTATATACATTTAGCCAGTTCCCCAGCATTGGTTCAAGGAAGCCTGACTCTGCTAGTGAGACACTTAATGTTAAAAAATGATTTTGAGTTTTGCTTGCACAAATCCAATGCTGTTGAGAAAATTCACTCCCATAACGCCATATGGCTGATGGGATCTGTAAAAAACACTAATTCCTTATGTCGAGGGAGAGATAAGGGCGAGTTCCCTTTTTTTGGTTATGATATTGTGATTTGCTGAGGGTTCGGGTCAAAGTGGGATTTGTGTTCTCAGCTCCTAAGAACAAGGTTTCGATGGTGTCCATCGGCAAGGACGAGCCCATCATAGAGACTCAGGCAAAGGTAACACGCAGCCACACAGCTACAACCACCCCAACCGCACCGCCGCAACCACCCCAGCCACGTGGCTTTGCCCGTACCGAACACCTCCGTTGCAACTGGACTCGTCTCTGCCCCGCACCCCAGCCCAGCACAGTGCACGCGCTGCCCCCCGGCACCGCGGGGCTGTGGACGGCCCCGGAGCTGCTGCCCCTGCGGGCGGGGGCCTCGCAGCGGGGCGACGTGTACAGCTTTGGGATCGTGCTGCAGGAGATCCTCTACCGCAGACAGGTCTTCTACATCCAGGGCAGCTCCCTCACCGATAAGGGTAGGGCCGCGTTCACACCACGGACAGGCCGGGTGGGTTCACACCATAAGAACAGACAACTCACACCTTCTACAGGAGGCACATTGTCTGTTTGGTTATTTTGTTATTTATAATCTCGACAATGCTCATTCATATTCTGTGTTGTGTATTTTAGAGCTTTGAATTGAACCAGGATACATATTTAATCGAGATAGTCCCTGCCTATAAAAATCTAGGAGTTCACCAGACAGATATGGGAAGGAGGCGACTTGTCTGCTTATTTATTTTGAGATGACCATGGAATCTCAGAAACGTCACCGGGTGTACGTTCCAGATATTGTGGAGCAGCTGCTCAGTGGGAAGGTCTTGCGGCCTACACTGGACATGAATGACTTCATCCATAAAGGTGGAGGTGAAGAGGTGAGTTATTTTGCGTGCCGTGGTTTTATAAAGTGATTTCATGATGTTGCCACTTCTCTCTTGTGTTTCAAATGTCAGAGTTCTGGCTGAAATAAGCATTGAGGTATTGGTGCTCATCTCCTGTTCACAGCCCTGCGTCATTGGTGGAAATTCCACATTGCTATGGTGGGGGCATGTATCTCCATAGGACAACCACTGTTGACTTTCCTACAAACTGGTAGCTAATGTTATTGACCCTGGAGGGAGGGATTTTGGGCTGAGTCAACCACGCAGCCATGCTTTTAACTTGCGATCTTGCAATTTTGAGCTGCTTGCTCCACGGCTTAGTCACCGGGGCCCATGTTCATGTTGGAGTTGAGCTCCACGTCACACAGAGCTTCCAGTTTTCCAAAAACCATGGTATTTGGGTAGAGAAAGTTGGATGGAAAACTTGTGTTGCTTCCTTAAAGAGTTGATCAATGAGTTGGGTGTGAGCCCAGGACATCTTGACAACGTTCTGTCTGTACTAGAGCATCGGATACCAAAACAGAACGTGCTGACTGACGACCGTCCCTCTCCACAGCTCTGCGCAATGATCACCGACTGTTGGGAGGAGGTTCCCGATAAGAGACCGGACTTTCGTAAAATTGAGGGCATTTTGCGTCGGATCTCAATGTAAGTTTCCAGGTGGCTCTCAACCTGTTTTTGTGAGTTAGGGGGGACAAAGCTTTCCTCTCAAGGTCGAGACGTCATCGCAGCCTGATCCGCTGATGCTACCACCACCACTGCACCTCATTGCAACCAACATGCTCCACCCTCCTCTGCAGATTCCGCAAGTGCTGCGCATGAGGCACACAGCGGCCTCCAAAACCTGCCGTGACAGTGTCATCCCGCCGTCTGCTCTGAGACTCACACAAGGAGCCATAGACTCACATAGAGACCTATAGACTAATATTGGAACCTATAGACTCACACAGAGAGCCATAGACTCATATAGCCAACATAGTGACGTGTAGCTTTGTATTGACAAGACTTGATTATTGCAACTCTTTACTCTACGGGACGTCTGGCAACAACATTACCAAGCTGCAACATGTACAACATTATGTGGCACCTATCGTGATGAGTACTGCAAGACCCGACCATATCTGCCCAGTGCTCGCTGAGCTCTATTGGCTTATAAGGTCGCACTTATTACACACAATGTGCTTGCTAGAAATGAATCACTAATATCTTTTCGATGTCATCATGGAGCATAAACCATCACGCAAACTTCTGTCATCCTCACAGTGGATTTTGGTTAGCCATCGAGCAAAGACAGTCACTGGGTCACACTTTCAGATGCGCTTCTGCGGCCACCTCGAATGCTCCTTGCAATAGTAGGCAACCACTGAAGCTATGCACCTCCAATTAGCATGGTTGGCTACATATGGTGCGAGAGAAGTTCATCATACATACACACGAATCCATAGACAGAGACTCATAGACTCATACAGAGACCCACACACAGAGACCCACAGTCTCCCACCACCATTCGCTCTGAGGTCTTCTCTTAGGGTTAAGATTAAGTTGGTGTCTAGACTCGTGGAGACTGCTCCAGTGTCCGTGTTAAGAACTCGCGAATTAGGTTTTGTGATTCGGATGTGTCATGCAGGCGCCGTGCCTGGGAACAAAGCATTTCTCCTTGGCTTTGGTAATGGTGACGTATAAACAGCCTATAGTAGGTAACATAACAGTGTTGAACGTTGGAACAGTAAAATGCTGAATGTAACGTTGCATGTATGGCCTTTTAGTCGATCCACTGCTGGATGAGGGCCTCCCCATGCTGTATCGGTCCCGGAGGCTATTTGACCATACTTCCCAGTGCTGTGCAGGAGGGGTTTGTGGATGCAGGGATCATAGATGTGGGGTGTCACTGGGCGTCATCGCCCTTGACGTGTGAATGGCCTGCTCTACGCACGACGCACGCTGCCGGCACGGCTGCCTCGAAGGTCTGGCTGTAGCTGTGTGGAGCTGTGGCGTAGTATTCCTATTATACTGGTAGGAATCTTCTGGTTACACCAGCCCACAGGGGATTAGTGTGTCCGTCTGTCGTGCAGGGAGGGGCTGGGTGGGGAGGGAGGGGCTGGGTGGGGAGGGTAGGGTGGGGAGGGGCTGGGTGGGGGAGGGTGGGACTTGATGGGAGGGGAGGGTGGGGAGGGGCTGGGTGGGGAGGGTGGGGAGGGGAGGGTGGGGAGGGGCTGGGTGGGGAGGGAGGGGCTGGGTGAGGAGGGGAGGGTGGGGAGGGGCTGGGTGGGGAGGGGTGGGGCTGGGTGGGGAGGGGAGGGTGGGGAGGGGCTGGGTGGGGCTGGGTGGGGAGGGTCGGGCTGGGTGGGGAGGGTGGGGAGGGAGGGGCTGGGTGGAGAGGGGCTGGTCACCCCGTGGTGCCCTTATAAAACTCAACGTTTAACCTACTCACGCCGGCTCGTGCCCGCCCGCACAGTCGGGCATATTTACGGAAAACACCACGCCGCCATTGACCCTGGCCATTGACCGAGCAACCCAACGTTCCTACCAGCTCCCTCCGCAGGAATGTGTTACTGTTATGACTCCGCTTGTTTACCCAGCAAAACCTCACCGAGTCTCGAGACTCAGGAAGGTCTGCCAGGTTTTCGCACGAGAGGGTGATGTTCCTATGTGTCATCCGAATTTAGTAATTTTCAGTTAATTCGAGATGTTTGGCCAATACCAGTTACATTGTGTGGTTTTTATTTAGCTATGTGAGGAAACCGGAGAACCCAGAATAAACCCATGCAAAACAGGGGGAGAACATACACACTGATTCGCATATACTCACACATTACAGACACACTCACTCACTCTCACACTGTGCAAAACCTCCGATTAGAACGGTTGGCTACGTAAAGTGCAAAAGAAAAGAAGTTCAACATACAAGGCACGAGTCTTACCACTGCACTGCCACCCGTAACTAGAGTGCACCGCTCCAGGTGCATCCACAAGGGCAAGGCGGAGAGCTACGTGGACAGCCTGATCCGCCGGCTCGAGCAGTATTCCAAGAACCTGGAACGCCTGGTGGAGGAGCGCACAGAGCTGTACAAGCGCGAACGCGACCGCGCCGACCACCTCAACTACCAGCTACTGCCCAAGTAAGCGTCGCCAGCCATGCCAGGCGTTCATCTTTCACCAGAATCGCGGCTACAGACCGCATTAACCATCAGCCATGGTTGATCCGCTACTGGATGAAGGTATCCCATTCCCACCACCACCTCGCACATTCCCAACAATTTCAAGATTCTGACGATCCATCCCGCACTTGCACGCGAGATGATTTCATCGCTCCATCTCCCATTAACCTGCATGCGTTCTCTGATCCGCTTGTTCCTCTTTCTGTCTCTCTGTGCAATTCCAAGCGTGCATCTCTCCGTGCCTCTTTGCACACTTTTACGTTTTTGTTCTACATTTGTTAATTGCCGGTATGACGCTGTCTCAGAGCGATGCAGCCCCGGAGCGTGACCTCGGTGCGCGGTGTCCCCCGCGCAGGACAGTGGTGCAGGCACTCAAGAGCGTCGGCTCGGTGCAGCCGGAGCTGTTCGAGGAGGTCACCATCTACTTCAGTGACATCGTGGGCTTCACAACCATCTGCAAGCACTGCGAGCCCATGGAGGTCGTGTGCCTGCTCAATGACCTGTACAAGGAGTTCGACTCCATCGTTGACTCGCACGATGTCTACAAGGCGAGTGCTCGAGAAGCCACGCTGGCCCTGCATTGCTGCCGCAATCGCTTCTCTGCAGACGCGGAGGCCTCGAGCCGATGTTGCCACTCACAGAGGAGTTTTCAATTCAGCCACGTAATTTATCCGGTCAAGATTTGCCGTTAAAACCCTCCGTTATCCGACACAGCCAGACAACATGAAATTATCACGTGGTGTACAAGTGTTCACACACCCAAGGGTGGCTGTGAGAATCGTTCCCGAGCTCACCACCATTACAACGCTTGTACATCACGTGAAAAGTTGCATGGCTGTGTCAGGTGGTAGAGAGTCTTAATGACACAACTTTGGTCAGATCATCACGTGACCAAACCCAAAAATCAGTCAGGAATCGTCCATCGGTGTCAGCTCTGGGTTTGCTGGTCGACGTGCAATGTATGCCAGGTATGGGTCCACTCCTTGATGCCATTCCCCCCCACCCACCACCACGTCCATCATATTCTTCCTCTTGTACCCTTCTGCCTTTGAGGGGTGGCGATAGGGCTCCCTGTGAGATTTGCACAGCAAGTACACACTCTTCTGTCTTCCCCTGTGTTAAACCAGCATCGTGCTATGGCAATATACCAGTTTATTTACCCAGGAAAGCCTCACTGAGCCTCAAGACTTTTTTCCAGCAGGGTCCTACTAGGTTATTGCATTCGGGAGCGACACTTGCTATGCTTTTCCCAATTAAATCATTTTCAGTGTCATTTTTGTAAATTTATCAATTTGGATCATGACGCAGGCACATAATGGCCTATCCTTCAAATTCTATATTTTATTGTTATTATTCCCATAGTGTTAACCAGGGACGCCTGCCGGATTGGAACCATGAGCCTCTGCAGCAAGCAGTAAATGCGCAACTGCTGGGTCAAGTCACTGCCTCCCTTATCCATCCTGTTCCAAACATCCGCTTGAAACTCTGAAACACAAGCACCTCCATCCTTCGCATGGTTCCCTTTTTAAATCCTTTATATTAAGTTCACTTGCTTGCTTGCGCGCGTACAACCGTGCAAATCTTTCGGTCGTTTTTTAACCCACTTCCCGTGATCCAATCGAGCTGACATTTTGCACACAGACTAGTTGTGCGTGACAATCTATTTTCGTGAGAAAAAAATTCCAAAATTTTACACTTTTTAGAAAAAAATAAATTATATTTAATTATCAATTGCTTAATGGTGGCAGGCAATCATCTGACCCATAAGTGGCAGCCATCTCAAGCCAGAGGACGAGAGGACTCTAGCCGCCACGCATATAAAGGATTTATAGTGAAAAACTTTGTTTTTACGGGTTAATTTTTTAGTGTCCAAGCCTCACAACTGTGCAGTCGCATAGAACAGCTGAGGCGTCCTTGCCTATACACATTGGGACAGCAAGCCTGACTGCTATTGAGACAGAATATCGTTGAAACCCGTGGAACTAACGCTATGAAATAATGCGCTCGCACAATGCAGGCCGTTTGGCTGATGTAGGACAGGACCCGCTGCCCTTTGATGCCAAATTAGATTTTATTGCGCAGGTGGAAACAATAGGTGACGCTTATATGCTGGTGTCGGGGCTGCCCAAGCGCAACGGCTGCCACCACGCCATGGAAATCGCCAACGTGGCCCTGGACATCCTCGCCTTCATGGGCTCGTTCCACATTCAGCACCTGCCGGGCCTGCCCGTCTGGGTCCGCATCGGCATACACTCAGGCAGGACACATGCACATGCACACATTGAGTCAGCACACACATCCATTTGTGTTGCCATCGCACCTGCAGAAAATACAAAGATCCACTGCATAGACTTAACAGACTGTTGGGGCAATTGCTGTTAGCGATCACCTTTGAAGGCCGGCATGGCATACGAGGAGGTGGGTGGCCAGTACCACGCCCGACCGCCTTTGTCTCCCGAGCAGCGATGTTTACACACTCCACCAGATACTCATTTGAGGCTGAGTTGACCTAGGGGAGGCCCCGGACTGGTTCAGATAATCATCATTGGTGTTGACCATGAGAGGGAATTGAACTCAGGTCGCCGGGTTTGTAGCGCAGAGCACTAACCGCTGTGCCACCACTCCCCACTATACTACCACTCACAAACTTCAGCAGGATACAAACCGCCCCCCCCCCCCCCATGCATCACACTCTCAGCCAGCACACACACCCATGCCGGCCTATACTGCAGTAGGTGGAGTATGTACGTATGTTGAACTTCTTTCGCACCATATGTAGCCAACTATGCCTTGCAGTACACGCTGTTGTAAGTGGAGGTGCGTGGATGACCCAGTAAATATGGAACGTTGGACCAACCTTGGTCCAAACACATGCCAGCGTTGGCCCAGCCTGACGTGCTTAGTGGGGATGGGTGGACATCACTCACTCTTGCTGGCCGCTGCTACGTGACTCTTTGCCAGGAAAGTGTGCGGCGGGGGTGGTGGGGAACAAGATGCCCCGGTACTGCCTCTTCGGGGACACTGTCAACACTGCGTCTCGCATGGAGTCGACGGGCTACCGTACGTGCCAATGGTGGCTCCCTATTGAGCTCCGTTAATCACTTCCCCGGCTGCCGCTGTAAATGGACGTTCTGTGCAATGCGGTGCCTGTTTTACTGGTTAGAATATGTTCATGATTCCGATCGTTAAAACGAACATCTCTAGTTTATTATAAACACCTGATTGCACCTTACATCTGCGTTTATGAGAGCTTGGAACGCCTGTACTTGCTTATGCTCTCTCGCCACTTGATTTGTATTGCTGTTATGTCAAGGTTGGCCTTGTACATAATACCCTGGTAGGCTGAAGTTTTCACCTGGTAACACAAACTCTGACCGGGCCCAGTTCCTGCATTATCAACTCGTCGTTATCTTTCTGTTGTAAATGACGCTCTCGGTGAATGTGGAGATAATTGATATTTGCGTTCACGTTTAATCTGTCTGAGCATCAGGAATTTGCGCCAGAATGGTTTTACAATAAACCCAGCAACACAAAGTCACGTGTCACACTCAAATAATTAAACTTGTTTGTTAAATGTACTATAGCCATTGCGGTGACATGCAAATAAATCAGAGAGCAAACGCAGAGGAGCTGCTATTATTCCCAAACTACCTGGGTGAATCACCACCAGTAAACTACGCACGCCATGATTAAAGTTGTAATATTGTCATGATAAAATTGTGTTCAGTCCTCATGTCGATGTACATGTGAACTGCACCTCAAGACGCAATGGGAGATAGTGTAACGCCTCCACGAAGCGTCCCACAGAAGAGCGGGAGGGCAGCGAGAATCCACACCGGCAATGCCCAAGCTTTGTGGTCCTATTTCGGGATGTTTGGCCGGCTCTGTTAGATGTGGGATGAAGCCGGAGTAGCAAGAGAAAACCTACTCATGCGAGGAGGGTAACAATTCTCCTAACAGTGGAAATTAATCCGCATGCTGCGCTGCAATATTCTGGAAAGCCAGGAGATGGCGACCAACTCTCGCTGCCTCCAGTCCCTGGTTACAGGACACGTGCAACACGGCCAATCTCTGCCCAGCCGCCACGCTCAGTGATAAGGGCACCCTGGACTGTGTGTGTGTGAAGCTTACAGGATCCACGTAAGCCAGTCCACTGTGGACACCCTCAACGCACAGCAGTCAGGACATCAGTTCACGTGCCGCGGCATCGTCGAGCTGAAGGTGATGTGGCACACGACCTGTGCGTGACACGAGTGCTACATCCACAATGGAGGTTTCTTTGGGTTAGATCGCGTAAATATAAATGTGTCGTCAAACCCACCACCACCCGACACAGCCAATTAGTAAGGTTTGTCACGTAGACAGAACATGCAAATTCGTTACTAGTACAGCACACCGGTGTGTTGGAGAGAAAATCTACAACATCTCCAATCAAAATTGAAAGAAATAAAAAATAATTTTAACCGTTCCTATAGCTGCCGCCTTAGTGCTGCTCGCATAATGCACAATGTACGTTGCCTCAGCAATCTCCCCCCCACCCCCCACTTTGCGCAAGAGTGCAGAAGCGTGGTCACTACATCTACGCCTCTATAAAAGGAACGAAACAGTGAGACTTCTCCACAAATCTGGCTGTCGCCTGATGAAGCTAGTTGTAATTCCTGGCGAAACGTCGTACTCAGATTGTAAATATTGTGGCTTGGCTCTCCAACACACTGGTTAGTGCTGTACTAGTGACGAATTGGCCACGTTCTGTTTACGTGACAATCCTTACTAGTTGGCTGTGTCGGGTGGTGGCGGGTTTAACGACACATTTATATATTTACGCGATCTAACCGTAAAAAAAACCTCTAATATGGATGATATTGGTCGCGAAAGCCTACTACGTGTTAAGCTCAACCCATAGTCATTTAAATGCATTATAATCCCTCCCCCATTCCCACAAGTAGGGCTCACTAGTGACTTCATCACAGTTCTCCCTCTATTTAAGGAACGAAACAGGAGGATTTCTCCACAAATCTGCCTGTCGCCTGATGAAGCTAGTTGTAATTACTGACAAAATATCGTACTCAGATTGTAAATGTTGTGGATTTTCTCTCCAACACACCGGTGTGCTGTACTTGTAACGAATTGGCATCTTCTGTCTCCGTGACAAACCTTACTAATTGGCTTTGTTGGGTAGTGGTGGGTTTAACAAACACATTTATATTTACGCTATCTAACCCCCCAAAAAATATATATTATGAATGATATTGGTAGCGAAAGCCTACCTGTTAAACTGGTGCTACAGCTCCCCTATTGATACGGTGGCTCCATTAACACGGCGACTCTTTTTATGCGCACAGGAAATGAAAAATGCAGCCGCACTGCTATTGTTGTGGAGATTATAGGATTGACACGTGATTGACACGTGATTGACACGTAACTTCCGATTAGTGCACGATTGGCTACGTACAGTGCCATAGAAGTTCAACATACTTTACATACATTTGCAATGATATTTATTTTAATTGCGTTTTGACAGCTTATACATTATTTTCAAATTAGATTGCTAAATAAATGCATTAATATGAATAACACGTGCCGGAAATACTTGTGTTTATTATTCGAGAAAGTGGTTATTCTGCAATGACAGCCAAAGGAGGGCATGTGCCTGAGAATGACCACTGTGGAGACGCAGCCGTCAGCTCATGCGCAGATGCGTCGCAAAACCGCAAAGGATGATGAGAAAGTGGGACGGGCCTTTATGCAGCAATGAATAGATAACGGCTGTTCATGGTCATGATCAACTTTGTAAAGTGTTCTGAGCCTGTGTTTTCAGGGTCGGGGGCTAGAAGTCACTTACTGGCTGGTTGGACGAAAGGGTTTCTTCAAGAAGCTGCCCGAGCCTCCCAAAGCGTGTGTACCGCACTCCTCAACACCCGCGGCAGTCATTCTACTGGACGCGGGCACGTCATGATGCATGGGGGTTGCTGCCTGTCTATGTTTGACCCAGACGGTCTGGGATTTGGCACCTGCTGTGTTAGGGTGGCAGGAATAGATTTTTACTAAGATCTGGTGGTGGCATTAAACTAAAACTATGAATGCTTTTTATTTCATCAGGTAAGGCCCACTGAGCTACATAGCTCTTTTTTAGAAGCGAATTTGCCACACGTATGAAGCGGCTCATCAAGTGGAAATTTATAGCAGTCAAATACTGAAAGCGCATATTTCTAAATGTGGAGGGAAAATTGGAGGACCCAGAAAAACATCCACACAACCACAGGTTGGGATCGAACCCACGGATTTCTCCATACATGGCGAGGAAGTTAACATCTCGCCACCATGGAGCCCCATTGTGTTGAACGTCATTCCGTGAACTGCACAATATCGATAGATCTATATTCTTGGGTCTTTCGGTAAAGTCATGTAGATAGGTTCAAAGAAAATAACAAAAGAATAACTAAAAACTACGACGTTTCGATCGCTTGTGCTGCTTTCGAAACGTCGTGATTTATTTTATTTGTACCTACGTGACTTTACCGAAATAACCAAAGAGTATGGATTCCTTTAGTCACGAAAGCTTTAAATCAAGATTACTATCTACGTGACTTTACTGAAAGACCCAAGAACATGAATTCCTGCAGGCAAAATCGATAGATCTAGCCCGACTGAGAAACATGTCTGGGTTTGGTCTGTGTGAAATCTGGCGACCCTCTGCTTGACCTTTTATCCATTGCCTATGGGAGCATACGCAGTACTTCACTTTCAAAGCCTCGTGTGCACGAACGTCTAGACCACAAATTAACTATTCTTCTTCCACGCGTTTGTCCCTCTCATGCTGTCCTTGCCAACCTTCTGCATGATGTCCTGTCCTGTGCCATCTCTCTTTCAGCTCCTCGGGCCACCATGTCCGATTGCTCCACATCGCCCCCCACCTCTACTTCTGCCTTTTACTTGATCTCTTTACTTCCACTTGCATCACTTGCACCTTCTGACCCACATCATTTTCCTGTTGTCTCTCCACATGGCCAAACCACGCCAGCCTTTTCTCTCTCATCTTCTCTGTGATTTCTACCACCTTGAGTCTTCCTCTCACTTCTTCATTTCTCACCCTGTCTTTCCTTGTTAAACCCAACATCCACCTCAACATCCTCATCTCTGTGACTGCCATAGCTTGGACCTCCCTTTTTCGTGTGCTCAAGCAGCAGTCGGCCCCATGCAACAGCACTTGCCTCACCACCGTCTTGCACACTTTTCTCTTCAACCAGACTGGGACCGTCTTATCGCACACCACACCGGTCATCTCTCGCCATTTCAGCCATCCAGCCCTTGTTCTCATCTCTCCCTCTAGTGATTCATCAGCACTACATCATTACACCCAGGTACTTCAACTCATTCGTCTTCATTCACTGGTCACTTCCAATTTACAATCCTCCTGCATTATTTCTACTGAAATGTGCCCCCATGTACTCCATCTTTGTCCAACTGATCCTCAACCCATTCTCTTCAATCTTTTGGACCCAAATCTTCAAATCATCGTCCACTACCCCTCTGCTTTTACCGCATAGCACAATATCGTCTGCAAACAGCATACACTAGGGGGCTCCCTCTGAATATCTCTCGTCACTGTGTCCAGCACCAGGATGACAAGGAAAGGGACTCAGGTCGGAACCTTGCCTCACTCCTGCTTTTACTTGAAAGCTCTCCGACACCCCACGGCTGCTCCGCACGTGCACTTTCTCTCCTTCGTACATATCCTGGATCAGCAGGACATGCACCTCAGCAATTCCTCTTCTTCTCGTACACCATCAAATGAGCCCTCGAGGCACCCTGTCATACGCTTTCTCTAGATAAATAAACACCAAATGCAGGTCCCGTTTATTCTCTGTGAACTTCTCCATCAATACTCTCAGTGCAAAGGCTACATCCATTGTTCACCTTCCCTGTCTGAATCCAAACTGACTCTCGCCAATATCCACCAGCTTCCTCAGTCTCCTTTTTATGATCCTTTCCCATAGTTTCATGGTGTGACACTCATCATTGTTATTCATCTGTAGTTCCCACTCTTGTACATCACCTTTCCTTTTAGAGATGAGAACCAATGTACTCTCTCTCTCTCCACGCATCCAGCATTTTTTTCTCCATCCAGATTTTCCCAAATAGTCCCATCATTATTTCAACACTCTTCCCTCTCATTAATTTAAACATCAATTTGAATCTCATCTGGCTCCGCTGCCTTTTGATGTTTCATGCTCACCAGAGCCTCCACCACCTCTTCTCTGGCTATAGTCTCTGCAACTACTTCAATTGTTTCATGTTCCTCGACCATTTTGCGTCTTGAGTTTTCCACATTCAGCAACTTCTCAAAGTACTCTTTCCATCTCTCTTTCTCTGGTTGTTGCCAAAGGGTAGACCATCTTCTAGCCTTCTTTGCTGTAAAACGTCTGGTAGAGTTGTGCAAATGCCGTTGTTTTTGCCATTGCTACCACTCGCTTTGCCGCTCTTCTCGCTGCCAGCTATTCATCTAGATGGCCCTTCTCTCTCGTGTTCTGCCACTTCTTAAACTTGGCCTTTTTTTCTCTTGTTGCCTTTTGCACTTTATCACTCCACCACCATGTTTCCTTCTGTTGCATCGGTCTTTCTTTGCTCACTCCCACTGTACTACCTGCTGCTTTCAGTATTCCACTCGCCAGATGTTGCCATATTTCATTCACTCTCCCACTAGGCCTTATGCTTTTTAAGTTCTCCATAGCTTGCCTGCAGACATTTTCTTTGTCATTATTTAGTCACCACAACTTCACCCTGCTACAGTTATTTTTTCTCACCTTCCTCTTCCTAACTCCTTTCACTACACAGTCTGCCACCAGTAGTCTATGTTGGCCAGTCACACACTCTCCAGAGATCACTTTGCAGTTATGCACTCCTTTCAGGTGCTTCCTGCTCATCGGAATAAAATCTATCTGGCTCTTCACCTCTCCACTCTGGTCGGTCATCAGATGTCCCTCCTGCTTCTGGAAGTAGGTATTCACCACTGCAAGATCATTCACTTTAAGATGTTTTTTTGTTCATGTTTTTGTTTTTTGTTTGTTGCGGTTGCACCCGATTCAAGAGCTGAATGGCTCACAGGGCTATACCTAATAAATGAACTTGAACTTGATTTGTCTAGGCCATTCAAAGAATGTCCTCTCCTCCCTCATTCCTACTGTTATATCCGTATCTTCTATCCATCCTTATTTCTTACCACTCTTCCATTTAATTTTGCACCAATCACCACTGCTTCATCTACCAGTAAGCTCTGAAACTCCTGGTCTAAGCTCTCCCAAAGTGCATCCTTCTCTTACCAACTGCAGCCCATCTGCAGGGCATACGCACTACACTGTCCAGTACCAGTCTGACTATCATCAGTGTCATTCACTCGTATGATTACCACCACCTTTGTCTTCATCTCCGTACTCAGCACAACTCCAACCCCATTTCTCATTGCTGTTGGTCCATGGTATAACACTTTAAACCCACAGCCAATCTCTCTCGCTTTGCTGCCTTTCCATTTTGTTTCCTGGATGTATGCGATGTTGACTTTCCTCCTCCTCAAGCAGCCCACTAATTCCTGACCTTTTCCTGTCATTGTTCAAATATTCCATGTGGCCAACCTTATCTTCTTCCCGAACAACATTCTGCTTTTTCCATTTTGTTTTCTCCATCTTGATATGTGCAAACAACATACTACCACCGCCAGCTCCCTGCAGCGGCAGAGTCATTGGGTCCCGATATTCTTCGCACCCTCTGCCTACTTAAGGGCTGCGGGGGACTGAGGGCAATTTGTTAGCAAGGACTTTCCATGTTTTGGCTTCAGGGTTTTATGGCCAGTTGCCACCAGACGCTAACTCTTCTCCTTAATCCTGGCTTGGGACAGGTAGAAAAAAAAATACGGCAAATCGCCTCCTTTCCATATCAATCCCTCCACACAAAAAATCATAACATTATTCAGAATAAAAATCTTTATTTAGACTGGAGGAATCCAATGAGCTATGGAGCTCTTTTTCACTCATATCTAGGACGGGCAGGTCAGAACGTTACTACTGATAGGAGTGCAAAATATAGGACAGGCGTGCAAATCACTGAATCTAAATACAAAAAAAATCGCTAAAGTATATAAATTCCTGTAGCTTTTTCAACACTAAATGAAACAAAGGAACTCATCTCAACAGCCACAACATATTCTGGGAGTGATTTTTTCAACAGCATTGGTTAAGAGCAATCAAAACCTTGGACTGGTGTCAAACTCAGTGTCTCATCAACAGTCAGGCTTGCTTGAACCAATGCTGGTGAACTGCCAGATTTTTAGAGGCAAGGGGCCCTCTGAGCTATGGGTCATGTGCTGTGTTAAATAGAATACGTCTGTTATGGTTTCTACAGTACACCCTGTAAATGATGTTGTCACTCCTACCGCGCTGTTGTAGATAGATCGCTTGAGTACCAAATACATTTACCGTAGACGTATGCGACATTAGACGCACCCAGTGTAGCACAGATGTTTGTGCAGGATGTATCCAGCCAGGTGGCTCAGTGATAAATCTAGCAGCTCTCATATTCTTGGTTCTTTCGGTAAAGTCACGTAGAAGAGAAAAAAAAAATATTAATAATAAATATAAAAATGATAAATAATCTTGTTTTATATATATATTGTTTTATTATTCCCCTTCTACGTGACTTTACCGAAAGAACCAAAGAGTATGGATCCTTGCAGTCACGAAAACTCCAAATCTAGAAAGCTCTCATTCGGTAAATACAATTAGTACCACTTTGTTTTGGGAAAGTCTTCTGTGGTTGTCTTATGATTGACTTGTCCCTGCTGTTGAATGTGGAATTTCCAATACAGTACTTGTTTAGGGCTGTAAACAGGATATGAGCACGTGTCGTTTGAGCAGCAAATCACTTTAACTTTTGTTTATGGTGGAAAGCATAACATCGGATTTTTAAATGAAAACGCAAGGTATGTGTGATGCGTCGTGTGTGCCGACAGGGCGAGTGCGCATGGGCTGCGCGAGGAATTTGAAAGGATGATTGTGGATGTGAAGCGGCGAGGGGTGGGAGAGAGACTCTGCCCACCGGACAGAGGAGCCGCGGGCAGCGACGTGGAGACGGAATACTGGCAGATCGACAGCCGAGTCCGCCTGCAGTGCGAGACCCGGCTCTAACGCGCAACGCTACATCATACTCACAAGCAGACGATTTGCCCCCTTCCCACATCTGTCCATCCACATCAATTATTACACAACCCACCGGCCACCTGGAAGTGGATAACTTCAGCGGCATTGGTTTAATATCATAAAACACCAGACCCGTCTCAAAATGCATTGCCTCATTTCAGCAAGCCTGACTGCTGTGATGAGACACTGTCTGTCTAAACCGGCATGGAGTGTGCTTGTGGTGAAGCAATGCTGCTGAAATGATGCACTCACATGAGACGATGTGGCAAATGGGAAGTGTAAGAATACTTTTTACGTGGAGAGACGGATATGTCAAGAAGGTGAAGTGTCTGTTCATATATTTTAATATATACACTTGACTAATATTTATTTATCAAATGTGACTTGTTTTGTCAGAGGTGTTAATTGCTGAAACGCTTAATAGTCGAGCGTTATCAGTTACATCTACTTCACATTGTAATCATATTTACCCGTGTATGTCTGATAGCAGATACAAACCAATGCATTGAACAATACAAAATAAATATAACATTTACCCATTACCTGACGAATTTCGCTCTCATAGCAATTTTTTTTTATCTTCTTGTGTGTTCAGCAAAGCGTCACTTCGGTGCGGACTGAGACGCTATCAGGACCATCCTGCTCCGTTTTCACAGGAGGGGCCGATGTTGCTATGTTGGCCTATTCGTATGCCACGCCAGGATCGTTCACGTCCACTGATTCAAATCCGGATATGACGAGAAAACCCATCAACAGTACCGACTGGAAAACAAGCATAAGTTAAACAACACGTATTGGCACAAGCGAAAGGTACAAGCGGCACGGTGGCAGGTAGAACAATACACAGTACACAAGGTGAGGGTGCAGTCCTGCAGGTACGTGCTCACGCCACTGCCGGCGAAATGGCCTCTGCTAGAGCGAATCTACAAGATACGGTATTTGGTCTACTCTTTCATAAACACTGAGCAGACGCGCTGGATGATGTAACCACACTTTACCCCACCACAGGTGCGACATCTCGGTTTATTTTGAGCACCCACGTGACGTGAACAAAAACGGGGACATCTAAGTAATTTAGTCATTGTGTAGTGAAATTAATGGGGGTTCACGCCAGCTACTGCCACAGGAGTGGAACTGGGCGTCTTGAGGCTCTCTCTGGCACCAGTCGGTATGGCATAGAAGCGGGCCCGGGGGGGGCATGGTTCTGGTGACGGTCGGAGAGAGGGCAAGTAGGGACTTGACAAGTCTGGATCAGCGGTCCCCAACCTTTTTGGCACCAGGGACCGTTTTCGTGGAAGACAATTTTTTTACGGACCGGGGGATGGGGGGGGGGGTTCATCATTGGGTCTTTCCCCCTTTTCAAAGAAGCTCTCCAGCAATGTTTGTTTTTAACTCATTGTGGCTACTAGGGGCTAGAGCTTGTGGGCTTACCAACACTGTGATTGAGACGAGTGCGCAGTGCGGGAAAGAGGCGCGGATGGAAGTGGTGAATAATAAAACAATGAGGGCGGGCCACGCGCGGACTCACCGCTCACCTCCTGCTGCTGTGAGGCCCGGTTCCTACCAGGCCGCGGACCGGTGCCGGTCCGTGGCCTGGGGGTTGGGGACCCCTGGTCTGGATGAACCCGAGAGGGCACGTGACCGGGACAGGGTAGTGAGGGGGCCCAAAGGGTGGCTTGAGGGACACGTGATGCTCGGTCAAGAACCTTCTGGTGAGATCCAAAAGGGGGTCTGGCCGAAGGCGGAGCGAGGCCACGCCTCCCGGGAGCATAAAAGGGAAGTCCCGAGAGCAATCGCGGCTGTCTGCTGGAATCAACCCGCCGGACTACATCTCCTCGATCGTCGGTCGTCCCGTTCGGCATTGTGGGTCAGACAGTGTGTCTCTTACCTCACCCAGTTATGTAGTTATCCCATTGTAAGGTGTAAGTAGTAGCCCTGTTGGGGCCGTGTAATAAGCGTGTTGCCTACAAGTTCAAGTGTGTGCCTCCGTTGAACCCACGACAATTGTTTCAAATGCCTCGCTGAGAGATGGAAATGAACCGGCGATTTATAGAAATAAACATCAATACATTGTCAAGATCCAAGTTACAAGAAATCCAGCTGATAATAACATCAACCAACTGCATTGATATTGACCCTGTAATGGTTTGACAACAGTTATAACATCATCCACGACAGTACAGTAACACATTCTTGCGGAGGGAGCTGGTAGGAACGTTGGGTTGCTCGGTCAATGGCCTGCAGGGTCAACGGCGGCGTGGTGTATTCCGCAAATATGCCCGACTGTGAGGGCGGGCACAAGCCGGCGTGAGTAGGTGAAACGTTGAGTTTTATAAGGGCACCACGGGGTGACCAGCCCCTGCCCACCCAGCCACCCCCCACCCAGCCCCTCCCTCCCCACCCAGCCCCTCCCTCCCCACACAGCCCCTCCCTGCACGACGGACACAATAATCCCCCGTGGGCTGGTGTCACCATGAGGTTCCTACCAGTAAAACAAATCCTGGCTGAACTGCACAAAGCGATGACGTCATGTCGCGTTGATGGTTTCCTGGCAGCGGTAGTGATGACGTCACGGCGGGGTTATCTTCCCGGCAGATTAAAGTGGGTGATGACGTTATCCCTTAGTAATTTGCTAGGCTCGTATCGTTATCTCACGAACTCCATCGTTTTCTTTAAATTGTCCTTCTGGACGCTTATGATATTGTGTGTCTACGAAAAATATGGAAATTTTGCGGGGGGTGGGGGGGCCTTACGACGCGCTTATTTGGCTCATCGGCTCGGCGATGCTTATCAGGTATACCATTTACAATAGTCCCTCGCTGAGGGTCTGGCGAGTCGCCTCGTCCACGGGACAGGATCATTGCCCGAAACGTCACGTACTAGTTTGTCATTTCAAGGTAGTTGATTTACATTAATGTAACGATTCCTCATAAGCAGATTCACGAATCGATTCTCTCGCGTCTCACCGCTGCCACAGCGTCAGTCGTGAATCGGATCGTTATGTTCAGTTAAGTGGTTCCTGGATCGGATCGTTATGTTCAGTTAAGTGGTTCCTGGATCGGATCGTTATGTTCAGTTAAGTGGTTCCTGGATCGGATCGTTATGTTCAGTTAAGTGGTTCCTGGATCGGATCGTTATGTTCAGTTAAGTGGTTCCTGGATCGGATCGTTAGGGGCGGGCACCTGGCCCAGCCGCTTGTTGTGGAGCCTCGCGGTTCGACTCCCGCAGGCCGCCCTGGTCATCTCTGGTCATCTCTGCTGTGTACCCGCCACAACTTCACCACCATGCGTCGCCTACTTCACGCAGACTGGATGTTGAATATCCCGTGATGTCTTTCAAAGAAGAGTGGACCATTGTGTGCCAGCGTTAAGGTAAATATTCACTCTATTCGAATATTACACATTTCTTATTTGAAAACGCGTAGCATTCGTAGCCTCTTTCTGCGAACACTTGGCATCACCCTCCTGAAAAAAGCAGTGAGACTCGGGCTTTGCTGGGCAAACGAGCGGAATGATAACGACGTTGATGCTGTAGTCAGTCGGTGGCTCGTGGGCAGTCGGGGGAGACACCGACCCCCCCCCCCCCCCACTCTGCCTGCCTGCAGGGCGCCGCCGCCGCCGCCTTCTTCTCTCCGTCTCTCCGCAGTCCTCCCGCCCAGTCTGCCGCTCTTCCTCGCCTCGCCTCGGCCTCTCCGCTGTCTCCCTGCAGGGGGAGTCTCTCTCCCCGCTCTTCTTCTTCCCTCGCGACGCCATTTTGGGGGTCTTTGTGTGTCGCGGGGCCGTGGCCACGAATCGCTCCTCGCCACTCGTCGTGCTCATCGGCCCCGGCTCCTGGGCCGCCGCGGCGCCGCGAGTAGCCGCGAGGCGCTCGGCGTCTTCTTCTCCTCCTCGGCCGCCGCGGGGCGCGGAGGCGCCGGGGGAGGGGACGAGGCGTGGAGCCGGAGTGGAGGAGGAGGAGGAGACGGAGCAATGGTCCCCGCGGGTCGTCTGTGGGCGTAGCGAGGAGGCCGCGGCGCCGCTCTTCGGGTGAGATCTCCCCCCTCGCCTCCTCCTCGTTCCTCTTCCCGTGCGGCGCGACCCCTCAGAGCCCGCGGCTGCTGCTGCTGCTCGTGGCGTTACACAGCGGCCCGTGGCGGCCTGGCCATCATCGCTGTTGTGAGTTATCGCCGCCTCAGGTGTCCTCTTCGTGTCCGCGGGTACAAGACGCGGCGCGTTGTCTGCTGTAGACAGCTGCTGAGCACAGGCCCAAGAGTAGAAAATGTTAAGCGGCCAGTAACAAACAGCACCACCAATGCTGCAATCGGGTAAGCGTGAACACTTGAACTGAGCAGGGGTTATGATGATGATAGCTTGAGAAGAGACGATTATGGCAGGGAACTCCACATTCCGTGCCGTAGGGGCAAGTTGTACCAGCAGCAGCAGCACCAGGGCGGCCGCCTTCGCCGCTTGCAGCCGACCGCGTGGCGGTGGTGGCGGTGGTGGTCACCCAGAGGAGAAGAAGAAGAACAAGAAGAATCGCCGCCGCCGTTCTCGAAGCGGCCACAACCGACAAACTTCTGGCGCTTCGTTATTGGTTCAGACTGACCGCGAATAAGACACTAAACATCTTAACTGGTCCGTTTGCTTCTATTGAACCAATGCTGCTGAAAGAAACGTGTTGTTTACTTGGCCTTCGACGTGTCTACTACAGCAGTCGTGCTGGATGCAACATATCTGCAATTGTGATTTGTAACTCGATCCTTACTCCGATATCAATAGTTAAACTTTGTGTAATTGTATTGAGGGACTGTGTTCTCTTGGTGTGCTGTCTTCCTGCCTTGCAGAAGCTTGGGAATTGGTGTCATGCAATCAGAACTTTCTACTGGATTTTATGTATTCGTGATTTGCTCACCTTTCCTATACTTTGCTATCGTTTTTGTTTTGTAACTTTGTGACCCGCCTCTCCTGAACATCTGTGAAAAGAGCTTAATAACTCATCGGGTTTGTCCAGGATAAATAAAGATTCCGATTCTTCAGAAATGTAATGGTGCTGCTTGACCTGTTGGGTCTGTGTTCAGCAACTGTTTAAAACAAAAACATTGTCCAAGCAGACTGCAGTATGAGCTGTCCAGGTTTGTTTATCCTGGAGATGTGTTTAAACTCGGGTTAAACGACTGGTAACTTTTCAGAATCGATAATCGCGTCTGAAAGGCAGGAACTCGTAGTAGTATCTTCCAGTTGAGTGTTGATGATCGCACTGCACGAACGTACAAACGGCATGGCGGCCAAAGTCACCGCGTGGTTCGTTTTCCCTCGTTCCTCAATGACAAGGTGCAGCAGCCTCTCAAGTGCTCACGCCACCTGGCAGCAGCAGCGGCCACTCCACTACAGGGGGGGGGGGATCTCAAGACGATGTCGACTTTGCAATGCTGACCAGATATCTTGACAAGCGACCTGCCCGATCGACTATACTCGTTTAGACTGTGAAGGATGACGGGGAGGGGGGGTCAAAAACTTGCACCGTTATTCCCACTGCCGCGCCGGGAGATCGAA